ATTTAAATTAAGAATAAAAAGTAAAAGAAAAGAAACTAATCTAGTTATATTAAGTTTATGAATATCCGTTATATGTATACGACCTATTTTGAAGAACCAAGGTTATTGAATTAAATTTTTTGTTTTGACTTAAAAATTCATTTGTTTTATTTTAAAAGCCTATTACGAACATGGCAACCATAAAATAAACAAAAAAAAATTATTTTTGCTCCTTCTGGTTATTGCGTCCTCCGGGTATAACGACGTAAAATCGTCGGTCCCTTGAAAGTCGTTATAAYCGGAATCTACTGTATATACTATACATCTTTGAAAGAAAAAGACAATTCCGCTAGAGAAACGTTTCGTAAGATTAATGGTGTTTTGGGGGGTGGTACTCCATTATTACTAACTGCGGAGGAATGGTTTCGACGATTCAGAGCGGGTAAAAACGACACCATGCCAGCCGGCTGGCGAATACCGATCAAATTATGGAAAACATCGTGTTAGACCGGCATCTGGCATCTTTCAAAAAACCTTCTGGACCGAATCAACGCCTGTGATATGCTGCTGAAACGGAACTAACTCGATCCATTTTTGAAGCGGATGGTGATTGGCGACGAAAAATGGATCACATACGACAATACTAAGCGAAAACGGTCGTGGTCGARGTCCGGTGAATCGTCCCAAACAGTGGCCAAGCCAAGATTGACGGCCAGGAAGGTTTTGCTATGTGTTTATTGGGATTGGAAGGGAATCATCCACTATGAGCTGCTCCCTTATGGCCAGATGCTTAATTCTACCATCTACTGTGAACAACAGCACCGATTGAAGCAGGCGATCGGCCGGAATTGGCCAAGAGGAAGGACGTAGTGTACCACCAGGACAACGCCAGACCACACACTTCGTTGATGACTCGTCAAAAGCTACGGGAGTTCGGAAGGGTGGTTTTATYACACCCACCTTATAGCCCGGGCATAGTGCCGAGTGATTACCACCTGTTCCCGTCCATATCGAACGCCCTTGTTGGTGTAAAGTTGAACTCAAAAGAGGCTTGTGAATAGTGGTTGTCCGAGTTCTTCGCAAATAAGGATCGGGGCTTCTACGAGGAGGCATTATGAACAGCGCATATTTGAACTAAATCCGATCACTGCAACACTTTTTATAAAGCATTGAATAAAGACCAAAAAAGCGGAAGGGAGATATTTGACAACCTAATACTTATATACATACATAATATAAATAATTGGTTAAATGGGAGATATGTGATACTATATATTTGTCCGATCTGATCTATTCCAAGAAGAATATCAAAAAGTACCTACGAATTTAATTCGAATATCTCAAAAACTGACAAGCAAATTTTTATCGTCCCCAAAAACTTCACTATAAAAATCAGTATCTCGATACCATTTTTAGACATTGTCTCTTAAGAAAAGTTGTTCAAAATAATCCATAGAACATTTCTCTAATGTATGTACATAGCACAAATTGTAACGAAAAAGCAAAAGTTGTAATATGTCGTATAAACAGTATACTTAGGTTGCCATTGTAATTTCGGGATTTGGCAAAGCTTATGTTGCAATGTGGGRATTTWCAACTTTATCGTTGTTGGTTTACATATATTCTTGGAACATTTTGACATACGAGGCTATTTGTTCTGGTTAGAGTAACTTGAAATGTTCATATTTTTTACAATATTCGCGGTGGATCAACTGAGCAGCAGCGCATTGTTGGACTTAACTTAATTTCCAATCGAAATCGAAGATTACTCTAAGATCAATTTCATCAAAGCCATCTAAAATCAAATGTTGTTCCTGAAATTATTGATGCTATGAGCAAACTGATATTGCACGATCGTCTTGTGGCCCATCGTGAGATTCTGGCAACTATATGAATTAGTAGGAGCAGCATACATTCAATATTGCATGAACACTTCACTGTTAAAATATTTGTTCACCTCCCACATAATTTGCCAACCACTTGAAACAAGCCTCGTATCTATTAGTCGCTTCAAAACACATCTATGACATCGAGACAGCTGATGAATCGTGGATTTGCGCAAAAGTAAACATCAGCCGACTGAATGGGGGTTTCAAAATATTTTCCTGCTTTTTTGGAAAATCTGAACATGTCACAACCATACCACTAGAACAACGAAGAACAGTAAATCCTTAGTAATATACAACCATCCGTTTACCAGTTGTCTAGAAATCTTCACACCGACACGCAAGGACTTAACATATGTTCCATTTGTCACATCAAAATAATCATTAGTGTTTAGTAAACGCTTGTCTTTCTGAAGAACATAAAGTGCATTTGGCGATTTTTATGATAAGCGAAATTATTCAACAAAGACTTTCCATTTTGTTGGGTGCGGAATCAAATTTCTGATGCCGAAACGTTCAGAATGTTGGAAAAAGCCTTCGGTGTGCGAGCAAGTGTTTTGATTAGAACAAATTCTTCAAAGGGGGTTACGAAAGCGTTGACAACGAACCACGTCCAGGACGAGCATGAACATCAACCGATGATCAAGAAGTCAATAAAATAAAGAAATTGGAATATCGGAAGGATCAATGGAAACTATTGTGAATGATCATTTGGGCCTAAACAAAGTGAAATCACAATTGTTTCAAATTACGTTAACTTCTTTGAAACAATGCTTTCCGACTTCCAGGATGTCGTGAAACGTATTATTACTGGCGATGAGTCTTGGATCTCGCAAAGGCGAGCCAAAGCCGAAAAAACCACGTCAAACAGGTCAAGAATCAAGGCTATGTTAACAGTTTTCATCGATTATCGAGATGTAATACACTCGGAACTCCTTCCGATCGGCCAAACTGTCAAAAAGCAATACTATTTGAGTGTTCTGCTCGTGTATCACGAACAATGACATTTATTGCCGTAAATAACAAGTAAAATAAAATGTCAACGTTTTTCGGCACCCGAAAACGAGGTTAATGCGTCCAGAACGCACGTTTTATAGATACCTCCATCCCAGTGGTGGTGGAGTTTGGYGTGGTCCAAAAAGTTATAATTTATATTGTTTTATTCTCTAACACCGAAGTATAAAAAGTAATATTTACGTAAGATATTTGAAGTTTAATGATAACATTACAGCACACTTTTTCATCAATATCATTCAATATACAGAAACTTTTCTTCAATTGGAATATTTTTAAAACTGTAGAAAAATTTTATACAATAATCGAATTTTATTTAAATTTAGTCACCATATACTTTAGTGAAAATTAGCATACAACTGTTTTAATTTTAAATTCCATTCCCTAGGACGATCGCGTTGTTCGCATTTCTTAAGCATTTGCTTCCTCGCAAGCGCTATGTTCAAACATAAAAAATTTGTTGGAATTTCCTGCCCAAATGGCTGTAAAGAAGGATCTCAACATAATCCGGTTAGTGCGAAAAATCCTTTTGGAATTGTTACAAAAACGGAAGAATATAATATTGGCAATGACGCCCCTGACGAGTATGCATTGAATGAATTTTTACTTTTAATAAACCTTTATATAACCTATTTATGTTTCAAACACAGCGCGAGAGGTTGCTACTGCATCGACATGCCGTTTGTAAAACATTGTCCATTCAATGACTAGAATTCGGTACAATCATCGATGTGTGCATATATATAATATTATATTTAAGATATTTGTAAGGCAGTAAGATTTTAATAACGTTATTTATTTAATAAAGTACGTTAATTACTGTAAACTAAGGATAGTAATTTTGCAGGAATGCAGCTATAAGAAGTAAAAACCAATTCTAAGTACAGAAAGAATTTACAGATAATAATTGTAAATAATTGATTTTACCCAAAATTCTTTTATTAATATTGCTTTTATCTATGTATGTATATATACGATGCCCATGTTAGTAACAAAAATATTTACAGAATTTTCAATAATCTAGATATAATTTCCAAACAAAAAAATCTTTAATACATGAAATGCAAAATAACTAAACATCACTTTTCGTAGGTTTGCAGGAGAAGCAAAAAACCGTATTAAATAAAAAGAAAACCATTTGAGAAATTGAAAAAAAAATTCAAATCTAAATTAACACGAAACTATAAGTATATTTTAGAAAAAAATATAGAAAAAATTAGGTAAATTTTATAGTTTCATTTCATATAAAAACTAAAATTTTGAATATTAATACAGAATTTCGAATTTGTTCGTCAGAAGCTGAGAGCAAGCCGAAAAGAATGTATAACGGCTTTTCATAAATTCATTTTCGAAACAGAAGGAGATAAACTAAACCGAAAACGCTTACGGGAATTTACTGGCTTTGAATTCGACGAAAACGATGAGCGCTATACACAGAAATTGATCTACATAGAAAACAGTTTGAAAGCTGCCGATTTGCTATCAATCTGTAACGTATTAGGTTTGACATGCAGTGTAAGTAATCTGACACTACACATATTTCGAAATTTGCAAAGAACTACGTTGCTATGCGCAGCAGCAGAGAACGACGATATCGAATGTGACGACGAAGATGACGATGATGACAAAGATGCCGAAGAAAATGACAACGACGATGATGATGATGTTATGCGCAGTTTTGACGACGCTGGCGAGAGTAGCATCACATTTGAATGTCAACAACGGCAAGAACAAAGGAGAAATGCTGAAAGCGAACGTGTTACAAGAAATATGATGGACAGAAACGACGATAAACCTACAGTGTGCAAAAGAGGGGAAGAAACAGAAAAAACACAAATGTCTCGTTTTTCAATGAACTTTCGTGACATAGAAGACTCTTTCGTTGGTTTGATGGAAGTGATAAAATCAATGTCGGAGGGTGGTTAGGCGAATTCGAAGAGATTTCTACTTTAATGGGGTGGGACGAATTCCAAAAGTTTATAGCTGCCAAAAAATCTCTACGAGGTTTGGCTAAACCGTTTATTCAAAGTGAAAGCGGAATCACTTCCTGGCAAAAATTAAGAGTGGCTTTAGAAGAAGAACAAATAACAAAACAATCGTAAACAGTGCGCAGATACACAAACAACTTACTTGTAGAAAAATAAAAAAGGATGAAAGTGTTCAAGAATATTTTTTGTGTATGAAGCAATTAGCAATGCGTGACATTGAAAACAATGCATTGATACAATACGTGATCGTGGTATAAGTGATTTGAATTTAAATAAATGGTGCATCAGACTTAAAACAATTTAAAGAAAAACTAAAAGTGTATGAATCGATTCGAAAAAATAACAAAGAAAGTATTGAAGTGAAATCATTTGAAAGTAAATTAGCTAAGTATGACAGTAAAACCATAACTTGTTTTAATTGTGGTACAAAAGGGCATAAAAGATTAGAGTGCAAAGACAAAGCGAAAGGCACCAAGTGTTTCCAGTGCAAAAAATTTGGGCATATTTCAAAAGACTGCCCACAAATCTATATATATAAAAATGAAACCCGTTTTCCGTTGTCACGGCATCACGCGTGAATGGCTGAACCGATTTGGCTGTTTTTTTTTKTTTTTTTGTAGTTTTTTAATACTCTGTAAAAGGTTCTTATGGGAAAAAATATTACGCAAATCTCTCAGAAAGATTGAAAAATACACATTTAATTTTGCATATTGTAACAAACGCGCGTAACGAATGTAAGCGTAATTCAATTTAAATGTCAGCGTCTTTCAATTAAAAAAAA